CCCTAGAGCAAGATTCTCACAATCTTTAAAGAAAACTCATGACTTTCTTTTACCTTAGTTTCCTTTTCCTTTTTGGTTTGAAGGCCTGTATACAAAACAAATACACAAATTTGGACAGAAGGAAGGGAAGGTAAAAGAAATTTACGCAGCACCATCAGTGAATTTGGGAAGTTTGAAAAGCTGAATAAACTATAACAACATCAACGACAGCCATTTATATAGCATCTTTAACATGATAAACTATTCCACCATGCCTCACAGCATTGTAAGACAAAATTTAACATCAACCCACATAAAGAGATATGAGGACATTTGACAAACACTTTGTCCCAGAGGTGATTCTTAAACAAGAGATTTCCAAAGTTTCAGATGATGCAAAACTTGATCCCTTTCTGCAGATTCTTTCTCTTCTTCATAGGAGGAATAGGCTGATTAGTACACAAATTGCAAAGTCTCTTAGTTACTGTGGTAAACCTGCGGCGATGGAGCAACACCCTCCTTGTGTGATCTGGGAATGTGACTTGGAAGGGATATGTTCTTGAAGGACCGAGCAGTACCTCTGTTATGTAGTGTATTATGTGATTATATACAAGCAATTGTGTATCTGTGACAATGTAGTACTCAAAAAGTCACTCAATTTGAAAGCAACAACATACAACAATTGCTCGGTGAAAATAACTGATCTTCAGATTTCAGGTAGAGGCACAGCATCTGCTCTTCCATGGATTTTGATGCTCCTCCCACTGTGTCATTCACACACTCACAATCTGTTTGGCTGCTCAGGAACCAATCAAATGGGTGCTGTTAGGCCAATGACCTTTGGCCTCTGCAACTAGTCACAATTGCACAAACCAATCAGCTACCCTTTCAGGGCCAAATCTCACTGTGCACACTCACACTCTACAGTGCCACGTTTTATTATCTCACCCCATTAACTACTTGAACAAAGTGGCAGTGTAAACACAACTCACAATGTGTTCCAGTAATCTGTTTTCAAAAGTACAGCAATTCCTTCCACAGGCATTGGTTTTAAAGCAATCCTTTTCCCATTTCAATTCACAATCACAAATAAAGTAAAATAAAAAGACACAGTCTTTACAGTGCTATCCTAGTAGTACTGTACACTCACTCTAGCCAGCACCTGAGTTCCAAAACCCAGAACTCAAGTTTTAACAACCGGAACCATTTCCCACACGTATTATCATTTGGCCACATGAAGAATACATAACTCCAGAAAAGGCACATTTTCAGACTAGTTACTTTAAATTGAAAATGAGAAGGCAGAAAGAATTAGAAGTCAGCAATCAGTTCCTAAAATCTAGCTCTGTATTGGACTTCTGTCTTGGGATCCTTTCCTCGCTTACTAATCTAGGCGATGCTGGCTGACTATCTTGGGGTCTTCCTCTTGCCAATGGGTGCTATAGACAACCAATTGTGGCATGCACTCACCTGGTCCTCTAGGTGCTGCTGACTGCCTGTCTCAGGGACCTTCCATCATCTGCTCCTTTAGGCATTATTGCCTGTCATGGGGTCTTCTTCACACCTGTTCCTGTTGCTGAGATAAAAAAATTTCTTCAGCATTTATTGATGAACTTGCTATTTTTTGAAGTTTCTCTGAACTTTCTTTGATGAAACAGAAAACTTCACTGTATTTAACATCATTTAATCCCTTGTACAAGCCAGCATTCATATTAATAGTCCCTCTTTAAAACCCATTTAAATCTTTACGGCTATGAATCAAACTTCTTGATCAAATTTCTAGTTGGTCATATTTGAATCTACATCATATAATATCTTATTGTGGAGCAAGGAAATGGTAACAGTTCTTCCAAATTACTGGCTGGGTCACGCAGTGTAGCTGATCTTCTAGAAAACCCAGAAAAAATAATTCTCACATTGGCACCCCACTTTGTTAATGAGAGGCTGTGAAACCAATCTTACAGCACTACCATCATAGCCCCCAGGTTTTGGTAGCAGTAGAGTGAAATAGCAAGCACTTTTTTTTTAAACAGTGTAGACTGTTTATTTTCCCCCAAATACTTAATATGCACATGACTTAAGTACCTTGAAAGTTTAAAGTTTCCTTCCCAGATCCCTCGACAGGACTCATAGAACTCAATGGTGCATAGGAATCTAACATCCTGGAACATGAATTATAAAAGCACTTTTTTTTAATGAAGGTACAGCAAATGATTAGAAAGGCAAATGAAATTATAGCACTTATCACAAAAGGAATGAAATATAAAAGGAAAAGGGTTTTTACTACAGATCTACAGAGTGTTTTTGAGTCCACATCGGAATATACTTTTTTGGATTTATTTGAAAAAAAGATATAATTGCACCAGGAGTATTTCAGAGTTCTCTCAACTCATTTCTGGAATGAAGGGCTTACCTAAAGAAGAAAGACGGAACTAGTTGTGCCAATACCAATTTTATTTTACAGTGAGTACTGGTCTTATTGAAACATCATAGAGGCAATAGTGTAATGGTATTGATACTAGACTAGTAACCTACAGGCCCAGGGTAATTGTCTAGGGACCACTGGTTCAAATCCCAGCACTGCAGCTGATGTGATTGGATTCAAACATTCTTTGCTGGGCCCATTACTGATGGGATCTATGTGGTTGCTTCAGGCCTTAAATAGCTACAGCCAGGCTGGTTTTCTGAAAGAAGAATTACAGAGCACGTCATTTAATAGGATACAGTTTGGGAGGTGGAGAGTGTATGAGTTTCCCCAGTATCATTGCTACACATGCAAAGTATATAGCTTTAGTGGAAGAGGCTCTGTCAGGAGCAAGTAAAGACTCCAGGAGGTAAAGTTAGAGATTCCTAACAGAAAAGGGTTAAACTTTAGGGAAATGGTACAAATACCAGAAAGAGAAAGCAAGGAATGTGTAAAAGAAAATTCTAACCTCTCACAATGGGTAGGTCAGCACAGGGATATTTACTGTTGTTTTCAGAAGGAACTGATGTATCTACACTAGATCCCTGAGGCCCTGGTAATAATTCCTGACCAAATGTAGTTGTGTGCCTTGCTATCATGAAATAAACCTTGTTGTTTTAAGAAAAGTGTATCTTCCGCAGATACATTGTGGTAGTGAATTCTCTACCACTGTGAACTAGATAGGCCAAGATAAAGTAAAGACTGTTCTGATGAAGGGTCACCAGACTCAAAACATTAACTCTGATTTTTTCTTCACAGGTGCTGCCAGACCTGCTGAGCTTCTCGTAATTTCTGTTTTTGTTAAAGACAAAAGGGGATTGGTAGCAGAGAACAACTACAAACAGCCTTCATTCAGTACCATATACTGGTAGAGGTGGCAACTGCCATGATGTACCAGCAGTGGTCATCTGGAAAAGAACACTACAAGTGTCATTTGTAAGACATGTTTTCATTGCCCATTTTAATTTCACCTAAAATTCTTGCTAGATCCTTTCCAATTGGATTTGACTCAAACACATAGCTGTGGGTCTAGCGTTGCATACGGACCTGTTGATTTCTATCATAAAAGGACAGGAGTGAACCTGATGAGCTTTTACAACAATGCAGTTACATCACAGATACTGCTTGTTTATTCCAGATTTATTTATTAACCAAATGTAAATTCCCCAGAGGTCACAGTGAAATTTGGACCCATATTTCTAGATCATTAATCCAGAACTCTAAATTGCAAGCTCAGTCCAGTGGCATAATCAAAATGTCATTAATGCAATATGCCATTCATACAATGATCATACCCCATTCTCTTAAGGGATCCAGAGTTAATACCAGGCACCAATAAGTCCATTACACATTGCTTACTCTGACACTAAAAAGATTCTCTTATTACAATGAAATGCACCTCTGACAAAGAAATCTGACCTAGCTTAAGCAACAATTTAACCATTAGTCACTTCTTCCAATCTTATCTTTTCAATATAAATAATCATGGCCTGAACGTCCCAAGCAGTGACAATGCTGCAGCTCTAGCTGCTATCCACAGAGATTTTCCTGACCTGAATTACAGCCCAGGATCTTCCTACCACAGCTGTTAAAAACATCCACAGAGCAGCACCTTCCCTCAAACTCCAGCAACTGGAGTCAAGGTGACTCAGGACACACCCCATGCACCACAAATTGGCATTTTCTGGTTTGTATTTAAGGTCCAGTCTTTTGATGAATATTAGTGAATGGATGAGTGGATGGATGAGTAGCTGAGTGGGTGAGTGGATGAGATGGGTAGCTGGATGAGAAGATCATTGGGTGAATGGATAATTAGGTTGGTAGGCAACCGGGTGCTCAGGCAGTAATATGTTGGGTCAGGTCAGGTCGAGTCAAGTCAAGTCAAGGAGGTGGTCAGGTTAGGTTGAGGGGTAATCAGATGGTCTGGGGGGTGGGGGTGCTGGGTTGGATAGGTGTGTTGTTGGGGTTGATAGTCAGTTCAAGTTTGGGATAGTTTGGTTGTTGGGGAAGGGGATATGGCCAGGGGAATCAGGTTAGGTTGAAGGGTAATCACATAGCCAGGGGGCTGTCTGTTTGGGTCATGGGGTTAGTTGAGTGGTCAAACGTCAGCTTTCCTGATCCTCTGATGCTGCCTGGCCCGCTGTGTTCTTCCAGCTCCACACTGTGTTATCTACTCCATTGAAGGTATGTTTTTCAGGCACTGAAGTTATAATTCTTCTGACTGTGGTTCAAACCTAACTAAAAGAAGTGGATGATTTGAGAAAATGCATACAAATAAAGCAAACTAATTTCCAAAGAAATATTGTAATTCTACAAAACTAGACTTTGCTTTATCTTATCTGGACTCTGTTTGTTGAATATTGATCAGATTGTGAAAAGGGACAAAAACTAGAAATTATCTGTGCAGGGTCTATAACTGTTAAACATTAATCTCCATTCAATGTCTCAGTAGCATTTTTCCTCTCTGCCTATACACCAACAAGTTGACTTCTGGTAAATATACTTTTTTTAGCATATTATTAAGGTTGTCATTGCTGGCAAACAACAAGCAGCCCAGGTCTAAACATTTTATCTGTCAGTATGGCACGGGCTTTGGTTCTGGTTTATACATGTGTGATCTGGCATGCAATTCTACTATTAACAGTAAGTAGGATAAATCCATTCTTTTTAATCTATTCACAGTATAAAGTAAAATTTAAAATGATTGTACGTCATGGTCATGCTTAACATTATATTCAGAAGGAGTGTGATATAATTTTATTTTTATGCAGAGAAGTAGATTCAAAAGTGCATGATGCGCTTTACTGAATACATTTTCCAACATTTGCTAAAGTTTTGCTGCTCATTTTGTACAAATTATAGGGTGCCATTTGCTTCTGCTAGTATTTTCTAATACAATCTTTTTCTGTACAGAAATCCACAGATTGGTATTATGGTGGTAAGTAAGAAATTATTTTTATCTGTGAAAGGATTAAAATTGTGAAATGAAGGTTGTAAATGATAGTGTGACATTCACATATGAAGATATAGCACTTACCAGAGTTCAGCAGAATATATACATGAATTAAACAGAGTGCAGATGTAAAATTGCATGAGAACATTTTGTATGATGAAGTATTCAAGCAGCAGCATTTGCATATTATAATGAAAAAGATAATAAGGTTCAGTTGATTACACTTAGTCAAAGCAACTTGTTAATGCTGTTTGCAATTTTGACTTTATTTGTTCTGATTTGTCATTTTAATTATTTGCATCTTTGTAGAATACTCTTTGTTTCTTTTTTCGCTCTGTCTCAATTAAATGGGCTTATTCAGCAAGTTGAGAAGAACAGCACATTGTTATAAGTTTGAGTCGCAAAGTCCAAAAGAGAATGGGCACTTAGCGCAGATCTACCATTTAACATATAAGGGAATCAGATATAATGTCAGATACATGAGAAAGGTTTGATCATTTAGTGCTTTGATCGGTATCATTCATCTATTGTGTTTGAAAAATGAGTTTTGCTGCTTGCTTTTAATCAATTGAAGATGCTTTTAAGTTAATGGTCTTGCTCCAAATGAAAGTGGTAATTCAGTTAAGGACTCTGTTGTGCTATTACAATGTGGGAATGTACTGATAACTATTTTTGTTATATCTATAAAAAGAATGGCTTCATCAAGATAAATTTGTGAGACATTTGTCTTGTTGTGAATATGAGTAACTGTCAAAGATAGGAATGCTACAGTTCAGGTTAATTCTGTCCAGCGATCACACAGAGCACACAGACCACACAGAGTCACTGTTCAGAAAATGACCACTAAATTCCTATTTATAACTTAATCTTGAGGGAGTATTTTCTCTATGCTGATGTGTATATGTATTGTATATGCATCTACAAAAGGTAGGTGTATGATTTGCTACACCAGCTGATGTAGGAATTTCTTACTGCAGAAATCTTCAGAATCAATATAAATTTTAGCAATTCCTGCTTAGGAGTACAGTAAGAAGTCATGAACTGTCCTTTCAATAATGACTCTATTTAATGAGTTGGCCTCATTGTAATGCCTTCCTACTGATGAGACTGTTAGGAGTTATGAACCCTGAAGGTAAAGGTTATGTCTGGTCTCCTGGTATCCACTGGTATCCTGGTATCTCATCGCCTTTCCTGAATGATGCCAGGAGAATGGAGACTAAAGCATGTGACAAGTTTTGAAAATTGGGTCTTGACACGCTGCATTGTGTCCGTCTAATCACAGACAATTTAAACATTGTGGGATTGGAATTATTTTCTATTCAGAAAGTTCACTGTTGGAATATGCTTTGCAATGTGGTTGATGTCTATTGAGTCTTGAATTTTTGAAAATGTAGTACTGTAATTTAAACCAAATTTCTCTGTCATATTGCTGCCTCAGAATCATCACAAACTTAATGTATCTTTAGCTTTCCAAATGATAGTACTGGTGATCAATCCTATTTGAATTCAGATTGCAACCTGAGGGATGTAGCAACTTGGAAGTGACAAAAGGCACAGAGGCAAGACCTGCCATAATTTTAACAGCCTTTAGCAGAATTGGCCAGTTATTTGATGGACTTCATGCCACGGCACCGAAGGTAGCAAAGCTCTTCTTTAGTTAATCACTGTGAGTAAAGTAAGAGTCACTCAGTCCCTCTCAGCATCTCCTCCATTAAAAATCACAATCTTCACAAGGCAAGCTATGTTGCTCTATAGCATCAATCCCACTCCTTAGTGACATGGACATATCCTTGTAAAGGAAAAATTTGCAGGGCTGTAGAGAAAGGATGGGATAGATGGAACAGGACTTTCAAAGATCCTGCACAGGCTCAGTGTGTTACCTGCTTCCAGGTAACTAATGTTTCTTGAACATATGTCCTTTGTCTTACATTTTGGCATTAGGGGCTGAATCTGTCCATATTTTGACAAAGTGTCATTTTCACTGAGTTTCATGAAGGGTTTCTCTCTGTGACTCCTAGAAGGTTTTCTCACTGTATCGTACGAAACTGACCTCACTAACTATCTACCACATCCCTATGGTGTGCCTCTCGTCCAATGCCAGCCTGATTCTCCTATTACTGGAGCCAGAACTATTTGCAACTGCCAGATGTCCCAGGACCCCTGGCATTGCCACCATTGTGCCCCAGGTCAGGGTCTGTCAGTCTGAAGCTGCCCTGCACATTCATGACATTTACCACTGATATGGCACACAAGGGGAAATTGGTGCTCCACTTTACAGATAGGGACCTGGATGTCCTGCTGGACAGGATGCTGCAGAGAAGGGGACATCCTCCTCCCACAGGACCAGCAGAGGAGGCCATGACACTACACCCAGCCATCCTAGTCTGAGATTGGCACCTGGGTCAGTTCAGTCTCAGCTGTCTGCAGTACTTCACACTCACTCAGTCTCTGCTACTGCACCTACATCCCACCAAGGCTCATGTTCTACAACTCTCCCTATTACATGCAACATCTTCCCTCACTTGCTCCCATTCCCCAACACCCCATACCCCTCGCCCTGCATGCTCTTTGTGCTGCCTACTCACTTTCACCTTGGGATGTGACCAACCTTCCTCCACCTGCACTAGCTGCACTAGCTGCTATCCACTTCCATCTCACTCAATCCCTCCCTCTCTCTCATTGCACGATCAAACAGTGCACAATAGAGCACAGAAGGCCAAGACATGTGGGAGGAGGGTGTGATGCCTGACATTTAGCTGCTCACCTCCTACTTAACCTTGACCAACTCCCAAATGGCTGAATATCTGTGCCCGAGCTCCTTGATTGATGTTGGAGGCTGCCCTTGACTTACTGTGCTGGGAAGCCCCTGACTGGAGGGTGTTCCCATGGACTTGAGTGAGAACTATTCCCCTTAGATGTGGAAACATGGCCATTTGTTGGAAGCATATGCAATATGGTCACCACATAGGCTGATGGTACACAGTGGAGGTGAGACTGGTACCATACTGCAACATGTTCTCCACCTTGACTGACCAATGCTGTCAAACATGACAAACTGCCTGTCTTTGTTTCTGCTCTAGCCTGCAATGCAATAGAACAGTACCGTAAGCGTTTAAGCTCTGCCTCAAATGGCAAAGATACAAGACAAGGCAAAGCAGAGTGAGCATACGGCCTTGAGAAGCAGCCTGGTTCAGTCCATAACTGGATGCCCTTCCCTGTGCACAATGTATCTCTGCATTAGCATTTCAATGAAAGGTATCAGTGTGCCCCAAAATACAACACCTTACTGTAGAATCTTACTGTAAGCGAGTCAGAGATGTGCTTAAATGATGTCGAGAGGTTGGCATATGTTGGATGCCAGCATCCATGGATATTGTGTGCATGCAGCTATTACCCTGGATGTGTCACCTGAGACATTGGTACTGGTTGTCCCAAGAGCAGTGTGCCAATGGTAGGATGGGAACCTGTGTATCATGAGGTGAGATTAGGTGGTAATGTAAGTGATAATGGGCAATAATCCCCATTAATATATCTCTGATCAAATCTCTTCTCAACATGGGTTAAAATCAGCCTGGTAACCAGTGAATTGCATGGCACACTAGGATTGTGAGAATAGTTATCACCAGGGATGTTTATCAAGGTTTTAACCTTATGGAGTTCTTCACAAAACAGCATCACATCTCATACATAGTCTCCCGGACTGGAGTGTGGAATTATGAGACACCTCATAACTCATGATTGCCCATATATTACATATCAACAAAAAGGCTGGAGGAATTTCTTGACTCAAAGTACTTCCTGAGGATGAGAGCAATACTTTTAATGATGCTTCTCCATTCTTCAGTTTTCAGTTTCTCCGTCATCTTTTTATTTCACTCCTTAATTTCTCACTCTCCACTCTGAGTGTCTCAACAGTTCAGATGTCACTTTCTCCATCTTAATATCATTTTCTAGAGAAAATTTTAATATCTCTTCATTCATTTACAAATTAAAATGCTAATTCTGTAAGACATAATGGGGCAAAATAGAACTGAACAGCATCAGATTTTCAAGTACTGATTAGTTTCCTACAGGTCAAGAATACAACTTTGACATGATGCTGTGCTGTCATTTTCAAAAAAGTCCTCCTCTAGCTAAGTCCTTCTCTTCACCGAATAGAACTGAACTCAATTTGATAGCATTGAGGCAGCTCCCTGCAATATATACCCATCACCCCATTCTCTCAACACTGCTCCCCAATGGTCCACCATCCCAAAACAATGGACATTCAGTACCTACAGGCAACATCCTCACACCCTGCTTCCTGTAAAGACTCTATTCCATCTGCCCAATTCTTCCGTCTCCATCACATTTGCTTTGCAAACTTCGACAAGGGAGCCTCTGAAATATTCACTTTCTTCCTCAACAGAGGATTCTCCAGCATTGTTGCTGACAAGGTGCTTAGCTGGGTCCGACCCACACTTCAGCCTTACCCCTTCTTTTCCTTCCCGCACCAGTAATAGAGTCCCCCTTGTCCTTACCTAACACCCCACCTGCATCCACATCCAGACGATCACTAGTTGTCATTTCCACCACCTCCAGCGAGATGCCGCCACCAGGCACATATTCCCGTGAAGAAGGATCCAGACCTGAAACTTCAGCTTTCCTGCTCCTCTGATGCTGCTGGGCCTGCTGTGTTCCTCCAGCTCTACACCTTGTTATCTCTATTCCCCTCTCCTCCCTTTCCAGTCTTCCACATGGACCATTCCCTCTGGGACCCTCTAGTCCACTTTTCCTTCATTCCCAACACACCCCCACAGCCACATGGCACCTTCCGCTGCAATCGCAGAGGCTGTAACACCTGTCCATTTACTTCCTCCCTCCTCAGTATCCAAGGGCCCAAACATACCTTCCAGGTGAAGCAGCACTTTGCCTACACTTCACGCAATTTAGTCTACATACTGGATGACTGCTTCACAGAACACTTGTGTTCTGTCCGCAAAAAA